AATAAATTACAAAAGCCTATCTCAGAAAAAAGTAAATACTCTTAGATTGAGGGGGTCATGAAAAATGACCCAGCGAAAGGGGTCGCCAAATGTATTACAACTATGGGTAGATGGTTGGCGGGTGGGAGATGCACGAAAAAAATGACAGAGTTAAATCTTTGTAATTTATATTTTTATCAATTTGAACATTATTTGTGGACTGGTCATGTATTATACGATGGGGAGAGGTCGTGAAATAATGTTATGTGTATTGGAGGGAGGAAATGAAATAAAGATATATTTTACATATAATAGGGTGGGGGTAGCAATATATGAAATAGTTCTAAGAAAAACTTCACTCACTCAAACACCCAAACACCCACCCACCCACAGACCCTCCTTCCCACCCTCCCTTCCTCCGGCACCCACACTCACTCACTCACTCACTCACTCACTCACTCACTCACTCACTCACACACACACACACACACACACACACACACACACACACACACACACACACACACACACACACACACACACACACACACACACACACACACACACACACACACACACACACTATAATCACAGACTTGTACAATAGGTTATATAGGTCCGTGCTATTATAAATGACCAGTCCCTAAATAAATAATGACAAGCAGACATCCTGAAATCGTTTAATTGAACCATACAGGGTTAAGCTCGCTGCACTACAGCACGTAGGTGACCAGCCACATCACAGTCCATGAACCATCATCTCTCTGTCATATTTGACGTGGCAAAGAGGAACTTGCCATTTTGTTTGCTTCTTTCAATCTAAAGTAAACTTTCGTGAAAAACATTGCCTGATTGTGAAGACCACTCGTGTTAAGGAGACTATTTCTCCAACAGGAAAACTGGCATTGATAAAGAGCTGTGAGCATTTCTTTCAGAATTTGGCTGTAATCCCTCCTCCATTCTGAAATACAGCAGTCCTGATAGGGTTAGAAATAGATTTCTTACAAATAAAAATCATTTTGTAAATGGAAAAAGATGTGGCGGATGAGGTTGCCATCTTTGATTGTATCGACAATGTCAGCCGTGATTAACGTAACTTGCTCGGGATCAATAAACCTGAATTATCAACAGGAAGGTCACATGAGGTCACAAACATATGGAAGGTTCAACTGGTGATATTTAAGGTCGTATTTATAGTTTTGAAATATATCCATGTATCATAACATAATATGCAAAGATACAATTTAGTCATTTCTACAGGTGACATATGAAAGAACTATAAAATTGAATCAGAATACTTACTACTCATGATTGTGTTTTTGGCAGAGATTTCTTATGAATGTGGAAAGTGTTTTGTTGCTTTTATTTATTGACTGATGATGATAATGTTGTATCTTCATGATTGTGTTGACTGTGGTGATGATAGTGCTATATCTTCATGACTGTGTTGACTGTGGTGATGATAGTGCTATATCTTCATGATTGTGTTGACTGTGGTGATGATAGTGCTGTATCTTCATGATTGTGTTGACTGTGGTGATGATGGGGCTATATCCTCATGATTGTGTTGACTATGGGGTTGATAGTGCTATATCTTCATGACTGTGTTGACTGTGGTGATGATAGTGCTATGTCTTCATGATTGTGTTGACTGTGGTGATGATAGTGCTATATCTTCATGATTGTGTTGACTGTGGTGATGATAGTGCTATATCTTCATGATTGTGTTGACTGTGGTGATGATAGTGCTATATCTTCATGATTGTGTTGACTGTGGTGATGATAGTGCTATATCTTCATGACTGTGTTGACTGTGGTGATGATAGTGCTATATCTTCATGATTGTGTTGACTGTGGTGATGATGGGGCTATATCCTCATGATTGTGTTGACTATGGGGTTGATAGTGCTATATCTTCATGACTGTGTTGACTGTGGTGATGATGGGGCTATATCTTCATGATTGTGTTGACTGTGGTGATGATAGTGTTATATCTTCATGATTGTGTTGACTGTGGTGATGATAGTGCTATGTCTTCATGATTGTGTTGACTGTGGTGATGATAGTGCTATATCTTCATGATTGTGTCGACTGTGGTGATGATAGTGCTATATCTTCATGATTGTGTTGACTTTAGTGATGATAGTGCTATGTCTTCATGATTGTGTTGACTGTGGTGATGATAGTGCTATATCTTCAAAATTGTGTTGACTGTGGTGATGAAAGTGCTATATCTTCCTGACAGTGTTGACTGTGGTGATGATAGTGTTATATCTTCATGATTGTGTCGACTGTGGTGGTGATAGTGCTATATCTTCATGACTGTGTTGACTGGTGATGATAGTGCTATATCTTCATGACTGTGTTGACTGTGGTGATGAAAGTGCTATATCTTCCTGACAGTGTTGACTGTGGTGATGATAGTGTTATATCTTCATGATTGTGTCGACTGTGGTGGTGATAGTGCTATATCTTCATGACTGTGTTGACTGGTGATGATAGTGCTATATCTTCATGACTGTGTTGACTGTGGTGATGAAAGTGCTATATCTTCCTGACAGTGTTGACTGTGGTGATGATAGTGTTATATCTTCATGATTGTGTCGACTGTGGTGGTGATAGTGCTATATCTTCATGACTGTGTTGACTGGTGATGATAGTGCTATATCTTCATGACTGTGTTGACTGTGGTGATGAAAGTGCTATATCTTCATGACTGTGTTGACTGTGGTGATGATGGGGCTATATCCTCATGACTGTGTTGACTGGTGATGATAGTGCTATATCTTCATGATTGTGTTGACTATGGGGTTGATAGTGCTATATCTTCATGACTGTGTTGACTGTGGTGATGATGGGGCTATATCTTCCTGACAGTGTTGACTGTGGTGATGATAGTGTTATATCTTCATGATTGTGTCGACTGTGGTGGTGATAGTGCTATATCTTCATGACTGTGTTGACTGGTGATGATAGTGCTATATCTTCATGACTGTGTTGACTGGTGATGATAGTGCTATATCTTCATGACTGTGTTGACTGTGGTGATGATGGGGCTATATCCTCATGATTGTGTTGACTGTGGGGTTGATAGTGCTCTATCTTCCTGACTGTGTTGACTGTGGTGATGATGGGGCTATATCTTCATGACTGTGTTGACTGTGGTGATGATAGTGCTATATCTTCATGACTGTGTTGACTGTGGTGATGATGGGGCTATATTTTCATGATTGTGTTGACTGTGGTGATGATAGTGCTATATCTTCATGACTGTGTTGACTGTGGTGATGATAGTGCTATATCTTCATGATTGTGTTGACTGTGGTGATGATGGGGCTATATTTTCATCATTGTATTGACTGTGGTGATGATAGTGCTATATCTTCATGACTGTGTTGACTGTGGGGATGATTGGGCTATATCTTCATGATTGTGTTGACTGTGGGGTTGATAGTGCTATATCTTCCTGACTGTGTTGACTGTGGTGATGATAGTGCTATATCTTCATAATTGTGTCGACTGTGGGGATGATTGGGCTATATCTTCCTGACTGTGTTGACTGTGGTGATGATAGTGCTATATCTTCATGACTGTGTTGACTGTGGTGATGATAGTGTTATATCTTCCTGACTGTGTTGACTGTGGTGATGATAGTGCTATATCTTTCTGACTGTGTTGACTGTGGGGTTGATAGGGCTATATCTTCCTGACTGTGTTGACTGCAGTGTTGATAGTGCTATATCTTCCTGACTGTGTTGAAAGCATGTTCTATATATATAAGAAGTTGTAAAAGAGGAATATCGAAAAGATTACATGGATGTCGCTAATTTTCACAATCAAAGAATTGACATAACAAAAGCTCAATGTGCCCAGTTGTGTGACCAACCTGTCAAATAGATGATTGTTATGATAGTGATGGTAATTGTGGTGTTGTTGCTGTTGTTGGTAGATATAATGCTAGAACACTGTTATACAACTAGTACAGAATGATTCAGCTGATACAAAAACATCACATCATCCATTGTATGACACCACAACATCTTAGAGATATTCTTAACTCTGAACCAGAAACACAACGATTTTGTCTGCATTTGTCCACATAGATTTATTAAACACATCTTGTCCAAAAAAATATGAGGTGAGGTGAAATTGGGTTTAACGACGCGTCCAAGGTTATTGCACTTATATAGCGATGTGCATGCACGTGTGTGTGTGTGTGTGTGGCTGCTTGTACTAGTCTGGACTGATGCCGATTTATAGTGCTAGCCCACTGAGATACCATGCCGCAGTTTAGCATGAATACCCCACTCAGACACAGTATACTGACTCCGAGCCGACCAGTCCTTGCTTTAACCCCTTAATGCCGAGCGCCAGACAGGGTAACAACAAGTACCATCTTTTAACGTCTTTTGGTATGACGCAGCCGGGGATCAAACCCCAGACCTTCAGCTCTCCGGGCGGACGCTCTACCACTAGACAATGGAGGCGGTCCAAAAAAATATGAAATGAAAAAAAGAATTCACTGTAATGTGATGTCTGTCTCCCAGCTGTTTGAGTAAAAATACAAAAATTATTCAATAACTCTTTGTATTAATAATGTTGATAAACAGGATATCTTTACTTGGCTTGCCTTTGCATGTGTTTGGGATGGTGCCACCTGTGGGGCAGGATATGTTCACCTATCAAAGAGAGATTCATTAACCTATCCCCATGATATAGTCGGATTCAAAAATCAACTCCACTTTTAGCTAAGATTTCATAGGAATATGGCAAGGGTTGCATCTCTTATATTTATCATTTTTCAGATTTGTGGGTGTTATTGAACATTTAATGTACAAATTTTGAATTGAAACTTTTGGCTACCCTACTTGTGCCAAATGAAAATTTTAAACATACAATAAACCCCACAAACCTGAACATTGTAAAACAAAATTATTGCTTATTGTTCCCCAAACCTAAAAACACATCATTTATACCCCCTAAATGCTTATCTTATGCTGAAAAATTATTTTCTGTTTCAGGTGTTTGAGTCAAGATGATCCTCCAGGTGTTGCCAGTCGTGATCTTCCATGATGATGATCGTCAACGTATCCGTTCACTCGCTGCCAGACACTATTGTTGCTCGTAACAGCGGGGAGTATGTGGTCCCCACCCTCCCAGCAGCCAGTCTCAAGTCGTCCACAGAAGCCATCATGCCCGGTGGTCCTAACAAACACCAGGAAGCCTACTATCTCTACTTCGTAGGCATCCTCGGGATGCTGCTGAACCTCACCGTCATCATCTGTATAGTGGTGAGGAGGACACTACGCAAGATGACAAGCGCGTTCCTGATTCATTGCTGCTTCTTGAACTTCGTGAAGGCCATGTTTTGCATTCCATTTGGAAGTAACTTACTTTCAGTTGATGAGCCCACATCGTGTGCACTGCAAGGGTCTGCTTACATTGTTATCAACACAGCATCAGCGTTCAATCTTGTCGCGATGATTTGTACCGAGGCGTACACCTTTGGTGAAACAAACATAGGAGGGACGTCCCAGGGTACTCTTTGTTGTGTGTTGTTCGGAATCCTTACTGTGTATATCACTAGCACTATTCTTCACCTCGGGCCTACACTGATTGGCGGAAACATAGAATTCAACAGTAGAATCGGCATTTGTACTTTCAAGATTGGAAAGGCTTCGGGATATATTGCCTATGTGATGATGATTCTGATCATTTCATTAGCTCTCATTTGTGCCACCCATTTTCTGTGCAAATTCTATAAAGAAATTCAGTCGAATCAACCGAACCGAGTCTCAATGCTGGTCAGGACTTCAATTACAATCATGGATCAGCCGAAACAGACAGCTAGCAGTATTCGGGAACTAATAGAAGAGTCTTCTCACAGAGCGAAGATATTTGTCATGACAGCTATAATGTTTGTAGTGTGTTGGTACCCTTTCTTCTGCCTCATTCTTGTAGATTTTACGTACAAAGTTTCACCAAAAGTTTACCAGACATTTAGCTTCATCGCATGGTCTCAAGGGACGCTGGAACCAATCCTGTATATTCTTTTTGACCGCAAACTGAACCTTCTCGCTCGATTTGTTTACTGTGATCATTACCAGAGATATAACCGAGAGCACATCGCCAGTCTCATGGCACAACACCGACAGCCTTCACGCCCCAATTCCTCCAACGTGGAACATATGATGGATCACTTCGACGGAGATCCGAATCTGTCCATGGACCATCAACTAGCCATAGATCACAGGGTGCCCATGGATCGAAATACATCGATGGATCGTTCCTCTACCATGGAACGAAGGATCCAGTGCCGACATTGTCGATTTGAACAGGAAAGATATGATCAAGATAAGTTTGGACAAAACCGATATGAAGACCGGTATGACCAAGAGCAAGATGAACTGGACCGTCAGAGCAGAAGTCAATCTTCATCAATGACGAGGAATGAGAAAGGTCTGCCAGACTCCGGCCACTCAATGGAGGTTCAATGTTAGACGGCTGTGAACCCTCACAGCTCTGATTACTCAGTTCAACCAGTCCTCCCAAATGGGGTACCATGCTTAACCATCCAGTGGGCCTTTTGTGCAGTGCAGGTACCGAGGTTAACCCACAAGTGGGCCTTTTGTTCAGTTGGGGTATTATGGTTAATCCATAAGTGGACTTTGTATTCAATTGGGGTACCATGGTTTACCCATGAGTGGGGTATGATCGTTAACCTACAAGAGGGCTTTGTGTTCAATAGGGGTATCATGGTTAACCCACACGTGGCTACGTTTTCAAGCAAAGCATGCAAGAAAGATTCCACTTCACCAAAGGTATCTCTGAGGATTGATGAGAAAATAATGGTCAAGAAACAGTGAGTGTTAGAATTTGGGAAACTTAACTTAAGTTGAGATAGTCTAGTGGAACCAAGATCGTAAGAAATAGCTTTGGTGTATTCTACTGTGGAATGCTAAACATCTATAATTGCTGATGTGATGCTACTATGATGGAATAAAAATGGTGTATTCTACCATGAAATATTAAACATCTATCACTGGTGGTTTCTTGGAACTAAGATGGAATAACAATGGTGTATTCTACCATGGAATACTAAACATCTATCATTGCTGGTTTGGTGGTACTAAGATGGAATATCAATGATGTCTTCTACTATGGAATACAAAGGCATCTATCATTGCTGGTACTAAGATGGAATAACAATGGTGTATTCTACCATAGAATACAAAAACATCTGTCATTGATGGTTTGGTGGTACTAAGATGGAATATCAATGATGTCTTCCACCATGGAATACAAAAATATCTGTCATTGCTGGTTTGGTGGTACTAAGATGGACTAACAATGATGTCTTCTACCATGGAATACAAAAAACATCTGTCATTGCTGGTTTGGTGGTACTAAGATGGAATAACAATGGTGTCTTCCACCATGGAATACAAAAATATCTATCATTGCTGGTACTAAGATGGAATAACAATGATGTCTTCTGCCATGGAATACAAAGACATCTATCATTGCTGGTTTGGTGGTACTAAGATGGAATAACAATGGTGTATTCTACCATGGAATATTAAACATCTGTCATTGCTGGTTTGGTGGTACTAAGATGGAATAACAATGGTGTATTCTACCATGGAATACTAAACATCTATCATTGCTAGTTTGGTGGTACTAAGATGGAATATCAATGATGTCTTCTACCATGGAATACAAAAACATCTATCATTGCTGGTTTGGTGGTACTAAGATGGAATAACAATGATGTATTCAACCATGGAATACAAAGAAATCTATCATTGCTGGTTTGGTGGTACTAAGATGGAATAACAATGATGAATTCAACCATGGAATACAAAGACATCTATCATTGCTGGTACTAAGATGGAATAACAATGGTGTATTCTACCATGGAATACTAAACATCGATCATTGCTGGTTGCTGGAATATGAAACATCAATTAATGCTAATTGGGTGGAACAACAATGGCATATTCAACCATGGAATAAGCATGACTGGATAAAGGACGTTTCTTGAGGATTAATGATTCATGATAAATATTTGCTGTCACTAAGCCAACTTTGTTACAGTTCACTGATCTTGTACAGAAGGGTGTTTGAATATCCACTGCAGTGCAGCATACCTGACCTGAAGACAGCAAAATTTAAAGAACATTCTTGAAGAACATCCAGACATGAGTGGTTCAGATATGAGGTTCAGACAGTGTCAGGTTGGTTTACAGAGTGCCAGTGATTGTAAATCATGTGCAGATCAGAGTTATTTGTGTCATTATTCCTGGCAGTTAGGGCTCGGACGAGTCCAAATTTGCTACAAATGCGAACATTAGTGACTTGTAGTGTAACCATAGAGTTCTGGATAATTTTTGTCATTAAACAATATATCACGTGACTAACCACGGGTCCGGGTAGTCCTGTGGGTACCCGGGTCCTAGTCAGTACCCACCCGACCCGGGTACCCGAGTTACCCATCCCAGCCCTACTGGTAGTTACAATAATAATTTTCAAGTACAGTCCATAGGATAATGGATAACAAGGGAGCAGGATGAGCTACAGGATATGCAATAGAATCCTCAAAGTAAGCTCATGTCAGTGAATACAGACAGATGGTAGTCTGTAGGATCAGCCATCATAAACACAACATTGTTAAAGAAATACTGCAACACATAATTTGGAATATTTGAATACTGAATATGATACATATTGTATATCATTCCATAGGAAATGTGTTCACTTTTCAAAAAATGGCAAATTGAAATTAAGCGGCTAAACATTCGAAAATATGAATGCAGCAAATTGAGGGTTCTTCTTTTGGACAATTTTGGACAATTTTGGACAATTTTGGATAATTTTGGATAATTGTGATAATTTTAGCCCAAAGTACATGTGTAGGGTGCATCTTCATTTGGTTTGTAGGAGACGTGGACATATTCTATCTTTAACATGCCTTTCATACATTAAAAACTGAATGTATTTAATAGATACGGATTCAAATTTGAGCTTTATAATTTATTCTCTTAAACATTCCCTCACCAAATAGAAAAAATGTTTGAAAAATCAATTTCCGAAAAAAGTGAAAACTTTCAGCTAAGAATATATCATGCAGACTACCGTGTACACTTAGTGCACAGCTTCTATAACAGTACCTGTTGACCTCTATCAGGATTAATACGATTCCCATGTGACCAATCTGATGACCTTCACCCTTTGGAAAACTGATATTCACCTTCAGCTAAGCCAGTGACCTTCACCTACAGCTAAACCAATGACCTTCACCTTCAGCTAAGCCGACTACATTCGCCTAAACTGAAGACCTTCACCTTCAGCTAAAGTGCTGAACTTTGCCGCCAGCAATGCTTATTTGGGCAAACACAACCAGGTACCATTGTAACCAATGTGAACTATGCAAGTAACTCGATGTCCCCAGTGTATATATCACCTGTCACTGTCATCTTTCTGAGAAACTGGATCAACTCAGTCGCACATCAGCAGTCAGGACTACGACTTCCTATGGACAAATATGTCCAGGACAGCTGGAATGTGCACACACACACTTTGGGTTTCACCCTATTGTACACCAATTGTCTTGGAGAATCTTGTTGAAAATGTGATGATGTTTGTGTTGATGAAACTGTTGATGAAGCTGTTGATACAGCACTGATGAGGTACATATTTACCAGAACTTCTCTCTGTGATGCCTACTTTTGTGTAATAAGATGTATGTGTGACTGCTTTTTACCAATTTTGAGTGAAAAAAACGATTTTGTGTCCTTACTCGATTTGCATATTCACACCATCTAATATAAATTTCATAAGGAGTGCAGTATAGAAGTAAAGTCAATCAAAGGTTTTGCTTATCAAGATAAAACAGAACTGATCTCAAAATGTGATTGACATGGGTTAGATACATCATCTTTACACATAGAAATTGATTGAACAGAGTTACTTCTGGATATCTGAGTTATCCCCCTTTGGTTGTTTCCTCGTTTGATAATGATGTTAGCAGGGGAATTGGATTGAACAAATCATTGTTAGATGACCTCAGGTGACATTTCCTGTGCTGGCCGGAAATTGAACGAAACATTTATGTCCACAGCAGGTTGCCATGCAAATATTTTTGTCCAGTGTTTAGATCATTCAAATGTTCATGGAGTAATGACTAGTTTCCGGGATTTAAGCTCAGATGGTGAGGGCATAAAAACAGTATCTTCTGTAAACATATTTAAAGATAGCTTATGTTTTACTCTGGGACAACACCAAAGAATAAATTTCCTGTTTTAAAGATTTTCGGAGGGTGCCAACCACCCCCTCCACTGAATCCTGAATACTATCTTAGTTTTCACTCTGAGTCTCATTACTCACCCTGAATACTGAATACTACCTGACACAAATCTCAAAAGCATTGAGAAAAGGGTGAAAATTAAAGTTAAATAACTGAAAAAATATTGAAAAAAGAAAATATATAAAGGAAATTTGAATCTCTATACCAAATACAATTATATTCGCTCAATGACCTCTGAGTCCTGAATACCCTTTAAATACCGCATTCGACGTAATAAGAGCCCACGGCAATATTTCCTAATATATTGGCTAGTGAACAATCCTAATTAGCACCCCTACGATAGATCAATGTACACAAGACTTATTTATTCGTGCATAATACGCACTCGTGTTTTATATGCACCCTTAATTATGGGCAGTTAAGTTCTGGAAGAATATGTCTGGTGTATATAAACATTTTAGGCTGTCAGCATAAACCACGAAATTTACGATCTTACAACTCTGTTTTTTTTTCACCAAAATAATATTCTAATAAGAGCCCACTATTCCTAATTTTGAGAGAGCCCTGGGTGCTTATTACGTCGAATATGGTAAACTCCAAATCCCACATACCAAAAGGGGGTTGGCAATCGCATTTCTTGGCCAAGAGGCAGGAAGCTCCAAAATAAAATTTAAAAAATTTGAGATGTTGTCAAGGTTGGTTTATAATTTAATTTACGGATCTAAAAGAATGATAATTTGTGATCATATTTTAGTTTTATCAAATGTCTTTAGTATATGAAGCCTTTCTGAACCACTTTTCTGATTGTCTTCCCTTAGACTGTTTATAACAAAAAAATTACATCTATGAAATCTTGAAAACATAATTGGGTACTCAAGCAACAAGTCACTGTGGCCTTTGCAAAATGTTACCAAAGCTGGCTTTTGCCAAATGTAAACTTGACACAGCTGTTTCCTCCAGACATGTGTACTTACACCTGATTGACTGACAAACTCACCCCATCACACTCAAACTGATTCTCATGACAAACCGACCACGGCCTCAATCCTCAAAGCGATCTTAGCGTCAAGGCTATCATAAGTACATGTTGAAGGATGGAAGCTATGATCGCCTTAGCGAAAGATTTTTAATTGGAATGAGGCCTTGGCTTTTATGAATATACTGAGAAAAAGACAGAAGGATCGGACATAAGACCACAATAAATCATTTATTCGATTTTAATCAACATATTAAAAAAATGTGAGGCTGGAGATATTTTACTTTTTAAAAATTAACTGTTCAATGCATCTGTGTACATTAACTGTCGATGGATATTATTCACATGAAACACTATTGATTTGGAGGGCTATGTCAGTACAGTGTATTTCATCAAGGTGACCCACTCAGTGACTTTCTTTGTCTGTTAAAGGTTACACACAACCAAATGTTTTCCCATAGACTTCTATAGTAACGTTATATTTTTTTTTTAAATAATTAAGCTATCAACAGCTATTACCTGTACGTGTGTGCACAGTTTGACCTTAGAGCATCAATAAAATTTAAAAAAATGACCAGCTTAGCAAGCTCCTTTTCCGAGTACAGGAAGCTAAACACACCAACCCCAGTTCCGCACCAAATGTCACCTACTTGAAAATATCTGTGGTCACATTCAGCATAAGTCATCGTGTTGAAAAAGACAGTTCTAAATATAGAAAAACGTGGTCAGTTTTAATAACTGCATGGATGGGTGTACATTTAAAAGACAGAAAAATCTTGCACAATATCATCCAATCACAGCCTGCACACATCTCTCAATCTGCACTGAAGGCTACGAAAACCGCACTGTCCCAACTGGTTCTGATTTGGTGTAGTAGAACCTTAAGGTACTGATCGAGGGACAGTAAAATTATGTGAGGTGGTGTTTGGTAGTGAAATGGATGGAGATTAAAATGTGTTCATATATTTATTATAGCCTAATGAGAATCTCTGTTTGACTTGATCTTTTGTATAAAGTTCTTGGTGAAACAAGCCGGGGCTTTATATGAAACATCTGTTCTACTTAACATTTGCTAAGGGCGAAAATAGTCAAAGGTGTGGTCCCTACTTCTGCTACATTTTATTGGATTGTGACTGATAAAAATCTTTAAGGCCTGACCAATTTAAAGGAGAAAGAAAACAATAATTGTTGCCTTTTCAAAACAAATGTGTGAGAAAATATACTCGGCTGTGGGTAAAATATGATCCTGTTACTGTTTAATTGAAAATGTGTTCATCAAAATGATTTAAACGTTTTTATTACATTCATTTTGATGTTACAAAGTTTCTTTTCAACATTCATTTTAAGAAATAAATCCTGACAACATCTAATTTTTTTATATTATTCTGACAGCTTCCTGGCATATGACAAACCTAAAATCAATAAATATATTGTCTCGGCTATTAAGTGAATAACGGGTTAATATTTATTTCTATGGACTAAACAGACTGACCATAAAAATGGTTGATGTTTCTTTTGGCCTGAGATTTCTAAATTTTACTCTGATCACAAGAACTAAAAAGGTGTGGTTTGGTTGTTCAGCACCTTTAGAAATATTCCAGCAATATCACTGTCTGGGACACTAGGAATGTTTTGAAGCGATAAAGTCATCCAGTGATATGGACGAACATTTAAGGTGAAACACAAATTAATTCTATAAAGGAACCCTCAAGTATGATTTGGTTGGTTGGTTTGTTGTTGAACACCGCACTCAGCAATATTCCAGCTATGTGACGGCGGTCTGTAAATAATCAAGTCTGGACCAGACAATCCAGTAATTACCGGTAGTATCATGATCATCGATCCACGCAATTGGGATCGATGACATGCATGAACCAAGTCAGCGAGCCTAACCGCACGATCCTGTTAGTCGCCTCTTACGGCAAGCATGGGTTGCTGAAGACCTATTCTAACCCGGATCTTCAAGGCTTCCTTAAGTATGAAGGAACCCTCAAGTCTTTTTATTTCTATAGCAAAGAATGGGTTGAGTACAGGCTGATGGAACTGTCAAGGGGATTAGGGAAGGAATGTGGATGATTGTTTTGTTAAATATGTGCCCTGGGGTCTGTAAGAGAGCCTGCCAGTGATGCCCAGTGAGCCTCCATTGGACTTGGGGATGCCAAGGATGGAAGCTGAGAGAGACTGTTCATCGCAAGAATACGCACAATTTGAATGAAGACCGGACATGAGACGTTGTAACAATAAAATAACAGTAATACATTTTTGTCATCACTTTCAAGACATTTTCATATTTGTAACATGACATATTGTTTTAACAATCATTCATTTTGATAGAAACTTATTTTAAAAAAGATTGATATATTTGAAAGTTATGTTTTCAAATAAAAATCATTTTTTTATTTGATATCCTTTTTTACTCAAAGTGAAGTAGAGTAATAACAAATTTTACATTTATAAAAGATTAATATATTTGAAAGTTATGTAAAAATAATTTTTTATTTGATATCCATTTTTTCTCAAAGTGAAGTAGAGTAAACATAAATTTTACATTTAAAAAATACATTTGAGTTTTGATTTTTATCATTAAAATTTTATGCCAAGAAAACAATTAGTTAAAGTTTAAATCAAATTTTGAAGAATTTGGGTAGTTCAGAATTGCAAAGTATGTATGTTAAAAGTCCTTATTTAAGCAATTTGTCATTTTGACTATGTCTTGATTAACTTATGAATTTGTCTTCATGAACTTTTGAATTTGTCTTCATGAACTTTTGAATTTGTCTTCATTAACTTATGAATTTGTCTTCATTAACTTATGAATTTGTCTTCATAACCTTATGAATTTGTCTTCATTAACTTATGAATTTGTCTTCATAAACTTATGAATTTGTCTTCATTAAGCTGTCATGTGATCATGTATATATATATAAATATATATAATTATATAATTCTTGGACAAACTTCATCAAGTGCTCTCAACAGAGATTGATCTAATAGTATCACTAATAGCCAGAATTGTGTTGTCAATCATCTTTGGGTCTTGCTCAGTTCCTGGTGCCAAGCAAGGCGGGTCCTTGAAGATACCGGAGCTGGAGGAGACGATGGTGGTATCATGGTTTCTTAAGTTTGGCGTGCATGAGTGTGACTTATTCTGTTTTATTACAACCTTGCCTTTGTCATGTACAGAATCGTGGGTGTTTTATTTTCATGTTGTTCTGAATCTTGACCATTGGACTGAAACTGTCTGATTATTATCTTAGATTAAAGAGGAATAGCTGAACAGTATTCTGTATTTGATGGTTCAAAGAAACTTCATCCTACCTGAAGGCGGAGCCGTGTGTGCATACAGAAATACACTGTCAGAAGGAATGTCAATTCACACTCCGAGACTTTGTTCTAATTAGAGGTGTAACGATACATTAGGGATAGGAGATGTATCCCGATACTATTGCAGTGATATGTTTCGTATCCCAATACAGTACTTTTATTTCATTAGTCGATGTTCTTCCTTTTTGCATCACAACCCTGAATCATTTGTTTTTAAATTTCAGAGATCGAAGATGGGATGTGTGTAGGATAAAGCACGTCTGAGGGTTTTTATGATATTTAAAACACGCATCTGCGGGATAAATTAAGGTTTTATTAAATATCATAAAAACCCGAGGGGAAGTGTTTTATCTAACTTATAAACCATAAGAGAAACTTAAAACAACTTTTATCGACACTTTTATGTTTCAAACATACTTTCGGGCATAAAATATCTGTTGCTACCGTACGGTACTTGAAAAATACATTCTAAAAAGCATTTTTCAGCGCCTGTCATCTCGTGGTACTGGGCTATAGACACGAAGGTTGCGTGTTCGATCCTTGGGAAAATATAAAAACATTTGTCACTTGATTTTACATTTCATTACATGTTACAATCTGAATGGAAGTTGTAATAATAAAATATTTGGGACATTATAACACATTATTACATAGCAAATATGCCAGGAAAATCCTATATATCCTATAAAATCCAGGAGATATTATATAAAATCCCAGAGACATTAAAACATCCCCGTATATGAGCTTTAACCTGACTGGAGAACAACAGGATGACGTCATGGGGGTTTATAATGTAGGGCAGAAACATATAGACCAGAGTGTTCCTTTAAATGTTTATTTACAGCCAGATGGAAAATACTTGTTGAACAGTTTCATTTAGCATTTTATATATGTTTTCATTTACGTGTTTTTTTTCACCAATATAACTTGAAGTGTAATGTATCGTATGTATCATGATACGGGGTTGTAAATCGATGTATTGTATCGTGGGCCTGGTATCGGGATACAATACTGTATCACTGTATGGTAACACCGCTAGTTCTAATATGCAAACTGTAGCAGTATAATCCTTAAACCTTGTGATGACATCTTCACTGGCATCTTCCCGAAGCAAGAGAGTTAACTGACTTTAAAAGTCCAGTTTCCACCCTTGCCGAACTTGGCTGGAATTACTGGGCTCGATCGTAGCGCCACTAGTGGCTATTACAAGTTATGTCCCCTCTAAGCCTCTCCTATGGACCAATGAGACTCCACCTCTCGTATCACTTGCATTTGCTTCACCCAAAATGGTGGCGCCCAGTCAGGGCGATCGGATCGATAATCAAGATCTATATTGTGATAAAACAGGTCTTACATCGCGAAATGCATCAAGTCACGTGAGCACCTTGATTAAAAACATGAAAAGATTTGGAAAATATCTGTTGGCGGTGCACATGCTTTGCAAATCCTGCAATCGACCGAAATCAAGAGAGTTTACGTGCGTGATTTTGATTGGACTATGCATAGACTTGTAAGTCCAGCCAAAATGTAACTCCATAATACCAGCCTAGTTCGGCAAGGGTGGAAACTGGACTTTTATAGTCAGTTAGCTCACTTGCCTCGGGAAGATGCTTCCCTGGTGTCCATATGGGTAGCATGTCCTTCCACAATCTCATTAAAATCAGATAGAAATAGAGACGATGATTTTGATGGAATCAGTCGTATAGGCTGTAACTGTAGTTCGGAATACCCTGTGTTAACATTTTCGAGGTTGCATGATTAGAAAACACATTCCGACTGTCACTTTCATGATCTGGTAAGTGACGCTTTGATTGGTCGGATGAAAGGTCATTCTGACGTGACCCGTAATGGGAAGTCCTCAGATCTTTGTTTAGCGATAGTGAGAACTTAGATCTTCTTTGAGATTGGTCCTTCCATGCAGAACAAATAATCTAGATTTGACTTTTACTTTGGTGTACAGGAAAACATATTCAGGCCAAAACAAGTAATTAACTTTTTACTTCAGAAATCTGATCAACCCATATTTCATTTTTCGCTTTTGCAACCTTCTTTAACGTATTTTGAGTAGTGTATATAACTTGTATTGACACTTTGGAAATATACACGTCTGTAGGGGGATGCAGTCTGATGATGGTTTGAAATTTGTTTTGCAGTCCCCAAAGAGTTTAATGCTGACCCTGGCTATCAACCATGTTTAATGATTTCTTTTTCCTAGGGGGC